AAAATCGCTGTCTTAGGCCGGTCCACTGCCCAATTCATACGTGCGGCGAGATCGATCGATCGTTACTAGGCGCGCAGAGAGTTGTAACGATCGATCGATCTCGCCGCACGTTTCAATTGGGCAGTGGGCCGGCCTAAGACAGCGATTTTTAATAATTAATAACTCGTTAACTATTGCAAAACCTGCAAAGTGGTACAGGACTTTTCGACTTAGTCCACTCTATCCGACAATAATCCTGCCGGAAATAATTCTACAAAATTCTACAAGAAAATTAAATATAACTGCCAGAATCTATAAAATTCTACGTAAATTTAAAAAGTGTTATGAAAATCAATATGAAAATGCTAGAATTGGAACACTTTTGTTAATTTCTGTAATATTCTACAAGTAAGCAGATGTTTTAATTCTTTAAGATTTTGTTGTTTCACAAATTTTTAAAACCAGTAAAATTTTGTACTAATTTTTACAAAATTGTACATTTTCATGAAATATTACTCACAATAATTTCTTGATTTGAGAACATTGTAATTTGTGGTACTATTTTGTAGATATTTTTACAAAAAAATAAATGTTTCAACGAAGATATAAAAATTTCTACAAATTTCTATTCCAAGTCAATTTTTTGTAGTTATTTATAGAAATTTTTTCGCTAGGGAAGCGTTGATGCGGGTATTACATAACACCCTGTATAAGAATAGCCTACGCAATATTCCAAGTATTCTCGAAGAATATTCTTAAAATGTTCATAGGAGTGTCTCGTGCTATCTGGGCAGTGGATTGTCACTGAAAACAGTAAATACTCACTGATTCACTGCGATTTTCAGTAGTTACTTGTAACTGTGAATTAGTGACTATTCACTGTTTTCAGTAATAATCCAATGATTGACTTTTAGAGAGCACGATTTTCAGGATAAATTTCTCTCCGCGTAGGAAATGATCGAACAATTCCGAATCATCTCCATGACAGGTACCCAGGTTCCCATCTCGCGGCTTTGCATTCAATTCTCTACTCGCTCATCTCTTCCAGAGGATGGCGTCCAGGTCGGGTCGTTCACGCCCTTCGTGTACGTCGACGTGTCGGACCCGTCGAACGCAGCGTTGTACATACAGGCGCTCCCGTCGGCGTACAACGTGACGGAGTACAGGGCGTGGCTGATCAGCAACGACACCAAGTCGACGATCACCACCGTGGTGGTTCGCGCGGGCGACGACCGCGGCCACGTGCGGCACAACTTCTCGGCACCGGACGGCGTCTACTACGTCAAAGTCGCGGCCGTGCACCCCGAGTGCGGCGAGGACGGGTGCGCGAACAGCACGTCGCCCTATATATACATAAGTAAATGCGATTCACCTCGAAAGAGTGAGAACAAGTGTCCGTAGACAAATGGGCCCCATTTTTCTCGCATTCGATTTTGGTCTCGAAGTAGGTACCACACGAAAGGTCTCGTCGAGCTGATTACAGATATGTCAGTTTCAGAATGTACCTATTTAACGTTCCAGAGAAATCGGGCTCCAAAGGTTCCGGCGCCGAAAAATGGCGTTGTGAACGCTTTTGACCGAAGCTATTGATTAGATTGTAGAAAATAAAAGAGCCCCGGATAATATTCACTTAATCCACCTAAAACTTTTTTATTTTAGGTTCATAGAAAACGCAGGACGATGTCATTAGCATCGACCATTGGGAAACCTTTTAATCGAATCCAACTCGGATCCATCAGACAGTGCATCTACTTGGCCAAAAGCCTTCGGTACCTGGTTGTATGTACATTATTTTGGTAAAGCGATTCAGTACATGTCAGTGGCAGAAGAAATGTCTTTTTGTTTGTCGCCATCTGTTGGTTCTGGAAGTTTTGGAGCCCGATATCTCTGGAACGTTAAATAGGTACACTCTGAGACTGACATATCTGCGATCATCGTGACGAGACCTTTCGTTTGGTACCTACTTTGTGACCAAGATCTTCTTCTTCCTCGTGTATTAGGCTTAAAAGCCTGTTTTATCCAGTTCGTTCTGTACCAGGTTTATACCAGAACGAACTGGTACTTTGAGCATTTGGTTTTACTTCATCTTAGGTAGGCTGCTAACCTTGCCGAAGGAAACCTTCAATCTGGAGGACTGTACCCCTAAAAGGATGTGTGTGGCAGGATACTCTCGGTGGTTACCACTTCCCTTCGAAAAATTCCGAAAAAAAACCAGTGACGTTCGTCGATTTGAGCTCGGATCTTTTCGTTCATTTGTTCACTAAGCGGTGCACATTTTTCTGCGGCCACACACAAGTGGCCAAAATCGAATGCGAAAAAAAAAACTGGGGCCGATCTTGTTCTCACCCTTGCCTCCTCTTCGCTTGCTCTTTCTCTCGATTCCAGGGCTCTTCCCTCCAACGCTACTAATTACGTATTCTTGCAGAACACGCGTCTGATCGACTGCTGATTATGATAATCAGCTTGATATGGATACCGCCTGTAATATTGTACGCGCTGTACCAAGCGTTTAAGCTGTACAGAAAGAGGGGTGAGAATTTTATCAATTCCTCTTTTCTCTCCTCGACTTTGCTTCGACAAATCATCTTTCTTTCTTTTTTCTTAATACAGTTTTAAAGAAAATGGCGATAAGGCCGAACTGCTTGCTGGTGTACTCGCCGACGCATCCGTCGCACGTGAACGTGATGGCGCAGTTAGCAAAGTTCTTACGATACTGCAATATCAATGCCATGATCGATATGTTCGACATCGCAGAGACCACCAGCAAAGTGAGTGATGAAATAAATCGACGATGTAATGGCACAGCAATTCCTTTCAACAGGAATAAAGATGCACAATGCACGGGGAGAGAATTTTCTCTTAAAATTTACCTCGAAAATCATGTAATCGTGGAACGACATGGCATTTTCAACAACTTTATGAAAGTCTTTTGAAATACTACCATACATTTTACTAGTGAAATGTATATTAAATATAATTACTAGTAAAATGTATGGTCAAAAAACTCTCATAAAATTCCGTCGTGCTGTCCAATTACATAATTTTTAAGAGATAAATCTCTCCGTGTACGAGTTTAAATGATTTATTTAACCTTTCATGACTACTGGGACATACAGCCATACAGCACGCATGTCCAAGGCCCGGGTTTTCATTTTCTGGTTAAACGTTAACCAGAAGTTAGTCGACTACCTGTCTCTTCTCAGATAATAATATAGAAAAAGATAGATAGTTGACTAACCTCTGGTTAACAATTAACCAGAAAATGAAGAACCGGGCCTAAAAGACATCTTTAAAACGTCCTTAAGTCATCTTTTGGACATACGTGTTGTTTATAATTTTACATTTCTTGGCTTCTTTGGTTCCTCGGGATGCTAGATCGTTCCATTAAAAAATGGAAAAAAAAATTCGGTCATGAAGGGTTTATAATGCGTGAATTTTTCACGGACGTGACAGCCCAGCGGCAGTTCAGCGGGATAATTATGTGACGTGATCGCAGGACCCGGGGCTCTGGTGCAATACCGCGTTTCAAACTGCGGACGTTGTGCTGGTCGTGACGTCCCCGCCGACGTCCGTGAAATCCGACGCGACGATCATTTATCGAAACGTAGACAACCACCTGTTGCGATTGCTGAAGGAGAATTATCCGCGGAGAAACAAGAGGTATTACGCGGTACACCTGCCGTACTGCAAGTCGGACGATATACCGGAGGAGGCGCGACTCTTCAAGAAGTTTTGTATACCGGAGGACCTGACGAGGCTCGTGAAGACGATCCACGGTATCGTCTGCTTGCGATTCTTCCCGTCGTCGGACCAGGAGTTGCTGGAAAGCATCAAGTTCGCTACGGCGAAGATATTCGAGGACGATGCCGCCAATGCGACAAAGAACACCAAGGAGACCGGTGAGCGTTATCGTAATCGACACTCGAGTTAGTTACCGTAGCAACACTTTGCTATCGCTTTGTTTCTCTTTCGATTTCTACATCAGACGTGACTGATTCTTCTGTATTTTATTTTTTCCTTGGCTCGATAGCGCTGTTATTTTACTACTAGAGGAATGTCTTCTGTCATGAAGTTGGCTTCTAATACGAGATAGAAGGTGTTCAACATCCAAATTCAATCACAAAATTTCTTTTCGATGTAACAATGGATTTTTCACTAAACAGATTTCACTCCAAGGACAATGAATTCATAATGAAATGAACAGATGCCTGATTTAACGGAAATCCCCGCTGTCTCGTATTAGGAGCCTATCTCATGATAGGAGACTTTCCTCTATTTGTATCAGGAATTTTACGTCGTTCTGAATTTTCTTTAGACGACTTATTACCACCGATCGTCGTACAAGAGACTGCAAATTGCGAGGTCGATCGACCCATCGAGGTCCGTAGGCCCGACACGCCGGACAGCGACGTCATACCTCAGTCTTTCGTGACACGTATCGACGAACTGAATCTACTTGGTGAGATTGACGAGGAGAGATCCTTTGTCACTAATTCCGCGAGGAACGACTGCGAGTTTCGCATAGATAAGTTAAACTTGTGATTTTTTTGATATGTGTATGAATAGTCCGTAGATTATTTTCTTATCATTTTCTTATCGATTTTGTATGCGACTACAGTTGACTAGAATAAAAGAATAATTTTCCATACGTTTCGTCGACTCGTCTTTTCAACGCTTTTGCATCTCCCGAAACTCGACGCGCATATATAATTATATTGTATTTTGATGACAAAATTTCTTACTAAATTGATTAGTATTTTGATTAAAATGATTGCATTATTCTAGCTTCAGCTTATGACTGCGTCCGAAAATAACGCCGTATAGTTCGCTAAGCAAAGAATACATAAATTCACGAGTATTATTAGGCAAAAAGACCCAGTCCGACTATTAATTGGCACGTCCTATTTACATGACAAGATTATGTACAAGCATCACACCGTGATTTATGTCAAATTCATCAAAAATATAAAACAGAAACATTAAAAATTACGCAATGCCTACACTGATAAAAAAATATCTTAAATCTATACCAATCTAAACCAATATCTAAAATCCAAAAAAAATATTACTTTACTCAAGGTGGCTCCTAATAGCTTATTAACTTAAATTAAAAAATAATAAACAAATTAAAACATGCATTGTTTTAATTGGATTTCTTATTTAACAAGAACAATTATTTAATTTAATAAATAGTATTCTATATCTCATAAAATCTTTATTTGAATGTAGAAAATGTAATGATTTAAATTAATTTACTTAACATAACACATAGATTTACTTGAAATTTGATATTTTTCTTTAAATAGAATAAATATTTACTTCAGTATAAACAAATAATTTTAAGTAGATCTATTTACTTAGTTTAAAAAATATTATTTTTATCGGTGTAGTCACAATATGGGAAATCTCCTTTCCTCTCCTTGTCAATTTTTTATTATCCCCCTTCAACGTTTCTTCAACTTCGAGAAGATCACCGTTGCAACAGGAGGGCAAGCGCATTGGGGGAAGAGTTCAGCATCAGGTAGTAAGAGCAACATGAGAAAATGCTCCATTTTGAAGCGCCTTTTATATGTTCTTGTGATATATTAGTTACAAGAAAATAAGATGGCACAATATTAACGGCTTGTAACGTGCGTGCCCCACATCGTTGTCGTCAACGCCCCGGAGAGTTTAAAAAGGAAACAGGGAAACATCGAAACGTGTAGCCCGTGAACGTGTACTAGTCGAAATTATACGCAGTCGTGATATAAAATCTGTACGAGAAGTAACTAGGCTAATCGTGGGTGGAATGTTGCATCTTATACGTAAATACAAAAGGGACGATTTTCCGTTCCCAATGAGGTACGGCAAAACACAGTCTTCTTCGGATATGACGTCGCGCTAACCGGAGCCCGCACACGAGTCTCGTAGAAAATACTACCCTTATGCTTCGGTCGGTTATCACTTCGATCTGCGTGCGATCTGCTGCTTCGTTGCGTCGGACACACGAAAGCCACGAAAGCTAGTGCGACAATAGAAAGTATCTCCTTTCGAAAGGAAGCGTGACGAAGTTAAGTTGAATAAGGTGCCGTACAACTTCACAAACGGATCTATCTATCAAAAAAGATTTGATGGAAGACCAAATCTGCAGCCTCTCAGGTTTAAAACGATTAACGACGCTGGTAAATTACGCCTCGGGTGAAACGTTTTAAATTAAACGTGGAGATGTTTCCTCGCCTATTTGCACCATTGAAGCTCGCATTGTTTAACAGAAATTGCTAACGACAACTAGAAAATAACTTGTCGTCTTTAGTTTGGAAAGCCTGGCGTTCTCAGTGAGCAACGATCCTCAAACCTCATCACAGTTGCGTGGTGTAACGTACAGAAGATTTTCAAATGCTGAAAGAGTACGATGATCTTTTTCGAGAAATCGCACGAATGATTATAATGCGCAACTATTATTATCAATAGTATTAAAAGCGGTCTTATCAGTGGTGATCAACATACAGCCGTACGACTTTAAGTACATAAAAACACGGCAAATTAATTATTAATTTATACTTGGTATAGCAACCGCGCGATATAGTTTATCCCTAACTTCCTACAGAGCGTTCCATTCGATTAAGAATTCTTTCAGGAATTCTTCCCGCGACACAATTAAAATCGCGACTTACCTGACGGCGTTATAATATTTGCTTTTACAAATTTTCATTCATCCAGCGCCATCGTCATTTCGCGCAGTTCCATTTCATCCCATGCGAATCATTCGCTTCCAATCGCTCGCACACAATTCTCTCTCACACTTCCTCGTTAAATAAATATTCCTCTCTTTCTCGCGTAATTCGCGATCAACAATTGCTCCCTCAATTAGCTACCTTTACTTTCTTTCCGCCGCGTACTCGCCCCAAGACTACGAAGGCTCGTCGAGACTCGGAAAACTCATGCGTTTTCCATTTTGAATTTTTCTCATTTGTCAAATGTCCAACGTGAGATTACGTCGATCAATTCGTCACGTTATTGTCGTTCTTGTCGTCGTCCATGCTCCCAAATACCAAGAGATCCTCCGTTTCCGCCGGTTTCTTCCCCTGCATATCGATGTAGGACTGAGGACGTTCGTTCGGAGGTGTTTTCAAGTCGTTTTCGCTGTTGCTGGTTACGCTGGTGTTCCTCAGCTTTATCGGGCTCTCGTAATGATTGGCGTTAAAGCTCGCAGGTCGCTCGTTCACGTAGGGCGACTTCATGGATTCCTCGGGGAAGGACGCTATGGATGGCTGCCACAGCGCCTGCAATTTGTCCACCTTGTCGCACTTAGTGACGGGCTCAGAAGATATCCGGCCGAGGTAGTTGACGGTGTCTGTCCTTAAAGTCCCGTTGTCCACCTGATCGTTACCAGAACCTGCAAAAGATTTCACGACAACTTTAAGACTCGCGTATCTACTATTTGTAGTCGTTAAGGTAGTTATTTCGTAAAATCGTTTGCGTGAGAAGTGTTTCAAATTTTTACAGTTTGTTCTTCGCATTAATACATAATATAATTAAAATTGACCGTCTCAAAGTTCTAAAGAAAATATTGGAACATGAATTTATTTATAGACGATAATATTTCGAATAGATTAATTTGAATTACCACTCGCGTTGTCCAAAGCCGGCAGAGACGCAAAGTAAGCTTGATTATGGACGGTTCGTGGATTAAGATCAAGATACTCGACACCATCCTCCAGCATACGCTCCCAATGGCTGGTCAGTTCCTTGAACGACGGTCGCATGCCAGGTTCCTGATGCCAGCAGGATACCATCAGCTTGTATCTGAAAACAATATGACGTGATATATCACTCGTGCTATCTACAATCGTACCGAAGATGTTTCGTGAGAAGTTGTAAAAGATAGGAAATGACTTTCGTCTTCCGTTTGCACGATAGAGAGAATGTACTTTTACGATGAGCTTTACGACGCGTGCTGAAATAGTTAACCTACTTTATTTTAACTACAGGCACTCGTCCAACGTTTTTCCAAAGGCGTGTAAGCTTTGGCAATAGTTTAATTGAAAAGGCCGCGTGTGCACGTCACGTTCGAAGGTTCGGTCGTTCTTGTTTATTACTATCGGAGTGCAGCGGCGTTATTTCGCTCGGTTAAAAAAAAAGTTCAACTAGAAAATTCTCTCTCTCTCTCGAGAGAGGACTTTTCAAGGTGGGAAGAGGCTTCGTGACTTCCAGCCCTGAAAAGTTTTTATTCAAATTTTTCTTTAACTGAGCAAAATAGCTTCGTATCACAGTTTTAGCACTATGTCATTAATTTAATATGCGTGCACGCAGCACATGTACCGAGGTTGACTTTACAGTGATCTAATCTTCAAAGAAGATGAATATTTCACATATGATACGAAGTCACGCTACTGTAATCACGAACTCCCTGTGATAATTACGCACGAGTCCCTCATAATTATGAATATCACATAATGGTTACACACAGTCCTAGGTCCTTTGATCTTATCAGCGTTGGTTAGTCAGCCGACTTAACTTTCTATTAGAACACGGAAAAAGCTTAGTTGTCAAGAACGTAAATGATAATTTTCTAAGATAATAAGGAAGAAGGAGAATGTAGGAAGAAGGAGAGAAAGGGGAAGAGTGCGAAACAAGATATTAATAAAGAATAACTTTCATGTACAAAGCAACCGCCAAGAAAAACAATAATCGTTACGTTGAAGCAATTTTTATGTAAGACAGCCACAAGTAGCGCGGATATTATTTAATAGGCAGAACTAAATTTCTAAAACAGGTTTAAGATCGATGATCCTCGAGACTAATGAATGTTAGACGCTCTAAGTCGTTAGTAAAGCACTTACAACTGTAGCGAGCAATTAGACGGCTTCTCCATGCGATAGCCGGCCTTCAGCAGATTGTAGAGATTATGCACGTCCACTCCAGGGTACGGGGAAGCTCCTAACGTGACCAATTCCCACAGGAGCACGCCGAAGCTCCAAACGTCCGATTTGCTGGTGTACACATGGTCAGCCAGGGATTCCGGCGCCATCCATTTTACGGGCACTGCAGGCGCAAACCGTAAAACCTTGGATAACGCCAAGTAACAGTCGGGCCCGTGCGAGTCATTAAAGGCGTTTTTCCCGCGAATCCGCCGAGAGAGTTACGAGCGGATTACCCCGTCGTGGTTGAATGAGGATCGTTAGTATTAAGCTTGCTAAAATATTGTTCGCACCTCGCAATATTGCACTTTTCAATGCTGAATTACGTTTTTTTGTCTAGCCTAGATTTATCATCGCGAGAAGATTATAATTT